GACTATGTTTAAAATATCAAAGGTTTACACCATCAGGATGCAAAGAAATGGGGACTTGAGAATAAGAGTTCGTGGCGAGTATTCAGTTCCTTAGTAGATGGTTTCAAGATCAAAATCATAAATGGGTTCTATATCTACCAAGATATATAAATGAATATGGAGACTGTTAGATTAGATTTCAATAGTTTAAAAACACATTTAAAGCCTATATGTGTTCACTCAAGGATGAAAAATATACAAAATAGTTTAAACCTTGATTTCAATTTATATATGTATATGCAGAGTACACAGGGTACTGTTAAAAGCTTAAGAGTAAAACATTTAAAACTTGCAAAAATTCTTTCTAGAGTTGACAGTAATTATATTAAAACAAATTGTTTTAACTTTAGAATCTTTAACTTTTTATCACTACTTTCTACAAGGGTCAATATTGGAAAGTAGATGGTTATTATTAAGAATTGGAAGGAAAGGAAATGAGTTTTTACCACAAACTCTAAAAGTTTCCCCTCTTTATCTTAGCAACCCGATATTGTAGACCTTTGATATGTTAGATTTAATAGTTTGAAATATCATCGGTTTACACCATCTGGCTGCAAAGATATATGGATTAGAAAATTTGAGTTTGTGGCAAAAACTCAATTCCTTTGGATAAAGAGTAATAAAGTACACACAGTCTTAAAATCAAAGAATGAAAAACTTTTTTTTAAAGAATGAACTTCAAAGAATACATATTATTTATACGCGAAATAATCCTAGGCCGAAAAAACATATATTTTCACTTTTTAACATTGCTTACATTTTCAGATTCTCTTGAACCTTGATCAGATTCTCTTTTTCAATAAGTTGAATACAATTATTGGATTTCTTCTAAGGGTGCACTAGATCTTGTAAATTATCCTTGCCAGTCCTGTCGATATTCTGCTCTGTCCCATAAAAGTTAAATTTTTTTTTCTAGGGTGTTTATTTTCTGGTTTCAGTTAAATGTAGTTTAGAGCAATTTAGGAACTCCTAAATCAAAGTTATAAATAAAAAAGGTTAAAATACAATTTAATTCTAAAACGTTAACTTGATTTAAAATACCTTAAACCATTTACTCCTGTTTTGCCAGCTTTAGGACTTCAGGTGATTGAAGGAGGTTTAGCCTAATAAAATAATATAGTTTATTATTGCACATTATACAAGTACAGAACAAGATTTCTTTAGTTTTAATATTTATTTGTAATCTTATGAAAAGCCTTCATGGCCATGCCATTTAGAATATTCACAAATCTTTGCAAAAAAAAAATATCAATATTCAAGAAAACTAAAAAGTGATGCAAGAAGTTGTTATTAACTTTAATAAANTTTCAATTATTTAGTTTTTTTTATTTTAATTTTAAAGTAAAAATAATCAAAAATTTCAAAATTTGCAAAGTTTAAACTCCTGCACCTAGACGAATTTAAATTCGAAATAAAAGACCAATTTAAAAAATCATTTTCTCCTATATCAACTCATTTTTAAAATCTTAAGCAATCTCTTACCTTAATGTTTAAATGATTTTATTTTATCTCTAATATAAGGTTTGAGGTAGAAGGATAGTATAGAACAGATAGAGAATACTTTTATCTTTCAAGGAGATAGATAAATAGATAGATAGATAATAGATAAATATGTATAGATAGAAAGATAAATTGATAGATAGATAGATAGATAGATAGATAGATAATAGATAAATATGTATAGATAGAAAGATAAATTAATAGACAGATAGCAGGCCCGTAGCTAGGAATTTTGAAGGGGCGCACCACATGTGAATTTTTCTAGACCTCAAAACCTTAGAAAATGTTAAGATGTCAAAAATAAAAAACTGATTTCGCTATACATAACAAGTTAATGGGGACCTCAGCCGTATAGTATAATGTATGGATCGGATAGCGTATGGTTTGGATAGCGTATGGATCAATTAATGTATGGATCAGA